ATGCATTACAAGGACTGGATTCACCTTTGCATCTCATCCACAGGCATCGGTGGCCTGGGGCCGGCAAGCTAACCAAAGGGTGATAGGGAAATATTCAAGAGCAGTTAGTGGTTTGATGGAAGTATTCATCGGAACTCGGTGTTGTTTAGCAGTGATAGTTGTTTTGGCAAGTTGGTTCTAGGGTTGAGATGTTCTTAGTTGCTTTAGTTGTTAGATAGTTGCCAGTGCAGTTGTGTTGCTAGTTAGGCCGTTTTCGACCAAGTTGGCTCAGGTTTGAGCAAGTAGTGGGGCAAAGTCGTTAGGTGTTCGGGCGGTATTTCTAAAGTTGGTCGGGATGAGTGGTGCACTCTCCCGGTTGGTGGTTTTTGGGCCTGGTTTCCACTAAAAAAACTGAGCCGAACACTTGTATTTTTATTTTCTCCGTCTAATAAAAATTGCGGCAAAGTTTTTGCCGTCCCTTCGAAAAAAACTAGTTTGGTCAGTATTGCTGCTTGCTGGTCGCAGATACCATACCACCTATGGTGAGCATTGTGCTTCAGAGTGATTGTTGGAAAATATGGACTCCATCCTGCCGGGAGTTACTTTATGTACAAATCATTTGTATAATAATAACTTTGTTGCAAATCATAGTTTGTGGCATCTTGTCGCACAAAAACAGTATGCATTATACTATGTAAAATTCATGCAGTTGGCCAAAACGAGTATTCCACGAAAGAATAAGTAAAAAAACATTTATAATTAAAAAGAGAAGAAAGAAAAAGAAGCAAACCAAATGAAACCAAAGAATAAATTCATGGCGTGCGCGGATTCCCAATTGGGCCTGACGGGCAGAATAGAAAAAGAGAGCGTGGCCGGGGGCGGCGAGTATAATATTGCCGCACGCAGACCGCGAGGACGAGGCGTCGCGGATTCCCAATTGGGCCTGACGGGCAGAATAGAAAAAGAGAGCGTGGCCGGGCCGCCGGGGGCGGCGAGTATAATATTGCAGCACGCAGACCGCGAGGACGAGGACCTCTCCGCGGCCGCCGACGCCCTCAGCAGGCCAGCCCCCTGTTCTGTCTCCAAGCATTGCGGGTTTGCAGTTGCAGCTGCATCTGGAGAAACGCGGGAAGTTCGCCGGCCGGCGACAGGCCCTGCCTCCACGTCGTCGCGGCGTGTGTGTTCTCGCCAGGTGCACAGAATCCTTCCCATTCCCCCTTCTTGTCATTCTCATCTCTCCCGCATTTCTATCTGGGGGAGGTTTGCCAATTGGAAGCTGGAGACACTTGATGCAGTTCCTGTAACGATCGGCTCAGCCTAGGCCTCGTCAACGCTATTAGTTCATAGCTGGGTTTTGATGGGGGAGATTTAACTTTTTACCATTATAAAGATTGGCACCTCCTCAGATAGCATCTCAACGGTTGCCGCTACATTTTCACCAGCAAAGACATAAAACAGATACAAAAATACCACGTTTGCTTACGTGGCACGCCAGCCCTCGCGACAGCAGGGATCCAAGTCAGCATATGGGCGTCAAATGTCTCTCCTACCCCTACTCCTCCACCTCTTCCTCTCTGCCCACCCAGATTCGATCATACTCGTACCCACCACCTTGCCGGTCCAACTACGAGATAGGCGCGGAGATCGGTCGTGGATGCTTCGGGGTGGTCCACCGCTGCACGTCCCGCGCCGGCGAGCTCGCGGAGCTGGAGCCGAAGCTGGCGCAGCTCGCCGGCGTGGTGCAGACGCACGCGGTGTACGAGGATGAGGCGTGGACCCACACGGTGATGGACCTGTGCACGAGCCCTTACACCTTTCGAGTGGTTGGGCCTCCGCCGCGGCGAAGCCCGCGTCGAGAGCCTGGCGGCGGCCGCCATCGTGGCGCAGGTCACGCGCAGCGCCGCGCTCTGCCACCGCCAGCGGGTCGCCCACCTTCCCGGCGGGGTTCGCAGCGATGCGTGTACACGCCCATGTGGGCTGAGTCCGATCGCTCCCGGTGGTCGGGCGCGTAGCCGCCCGGCTCCGTACTCTACATCTCCTTCGCGGCTTCTACGCGACGCGACCAAGCGAGAGCTGCGACGAGATCGCCGCCGCCTACGCCAGCGGGCGCCCGCTTCCCTATGGGTGATGCGCCCGGACATCGTCGGCTCCGACGACTTCGGACCCGCTGCCGAGGGTTCACCGCACACCGCGGCGGGCGGGGCTCGTGGTCCCGTGGTGCTTTGCCAGTGGAGGTGCTGCTCCCACGCCGCCGTCGGCGGCTTCCTCACGCTGCTCATACTGGAACTCCATCCTCGAGAGCGTGTGGGCGGGCGTGTCCATCTTTGTGCTTCCCGCGCTCACGGACCAGATCACCTACCGGCGCCTCGTCGTGCGGGAGTGGCGCGCCGGCGTATCCATATGGGACCGCGACGCGTGAAGGCGCGGATCGAAGGGTGATGGGCGGGGAAGGCGGCGTCAAGTTCGGGAGCGGCGCGAAGAAGCGAGGGGCACACTCGAGGCTACCGGCGCCCGTGGCTCGTCGCCATGGCGCAGCCGACGAAGTTCATGGATGAGCTCAAGCGCCGGTGCGGAGGCGACCAGCGATCCGGCTTCGTCGGGCACCGCCAGGCGGCGCGAAAAGCCGAGGCACGGTGCAGTGCGGCCGCGCCGTCCGCCGGCAGGCGCGGGCAATAGAGCGCCACCGCTTGCCGAACACCGCCGCCGCCGGGCATGAGGTGCAGCGCTCTAGGTGCTGGGGCTACCAACAGGCCAACACTGGCATGCCTTGAGTTGCCGCTTGACCGCCAGAGTACGGGCGAAATTGCCAGCTGCATGGGTGGAGAGGAAAAGGGCAGGAGGGACATTTCACACGCCCTGTTGACTCGAATCCACGCTGGCATGAAGAGCTGGAGTGCCACGCAAGCAAAAATAGTAAATTTGTAGCTGTTTTCTCTCTGTGCTGGCGAAAATGTATTGGCATATGTTAAAGTGCTATTTGAGGAGGTGCCATTTGTTATAATGGTAAAAAGTTAAATCTCCCGTTGTGATGCAGTCTGATCAACCAAGGTTCGGCCCCCGCGTTGCTCTCTCCTCGAGGGCGACTCGGGCATCGCTTCCTCCCGCCACCGGTAGGCCCCGCCCCCACGCCTCCACTGCCTGGCCGCCGCCGAAGCTCGACGCCGGAGGATGGCGGCGGCTGGGGGTTCTTTCTCCTCCCTCCTCCTCCTCTATATATATCTCTCTCTGGTGGAACTCCCGTGCGTCAAAGCAATGGCGTCGAGGATCTGCTTGGCTCGCCGCGGATCTGCCCCCCTCGATGAAACCATCTTCCCAGCGTGGAGTTGGTGTGGCCGTCGGTGGTGATGTGCGGGAGTGGGGACTGGCTGCGGACCGGCGGCGCTCTCGGAGTCGTCTTCGCGGGCTGTGGGCGTCTTGGCCGGCGGCGTCGCGGGCGGCGAGATGCGACTGCGTCGCCCTCGTGGCGGCGCCGCCGCGCTGGCCGGTTTAGGCGTGCCGAAGGTCGCAGATAGCCGGGGTGGCGGCTAGTCGAGCTGCCTGTCGCGGCGGTGGCCTCAGCAGGCGGCGTCGGCATGGAGCGCTGATCCGGTGCCCCGTGGCAAAAGCGGCGCCCGTGATGGTGGGGGCATGCGCCTCGTGGCTGTTGGCGGCGTTGTCAGCAGCGACGGCGGTGGGTGCCAGAGCAGGCGACGGTGGTCGTTGACGGCCTCGACGTGCGGCGGTGTTACGCGAGCAGCGGAGTCAGGTTTGGCTCTACGTGGCCTGTTCGGAAGGGGTGGCGGCCGACGCAGCTATGCGGCTGCTACGTGCAGCCGGCGCGTCGATGCCCTTCTAAATGGGCTTCTGTGGGGCGGCGGGACAACGGCGATGGCGGTGCTGGTTGGCAGGGGTCCGAGCTTCTCGGCCTGATGTTTGTGCTAGAGGGTTCTTGGGCGAAAGCCATGGCGATGGCGACGCCGGTGGCGCCGCTTCCCTGTTGGGGGCGTCGTGCTTTCCTTCTAGCACTAATTATTGTTGTGTGGTGCGGGTCCGTGATTGGAAGTCAGAGTTGCTCTTCGTGGGGTGTTTGAGCTTGGTAACGATGACCGGTGGCGGGCCGTCGGTGGATGGCTAGTGGGTGGCCTGCCATGGGAAGTCGGAGCTGCTGGCAGCTTTGCTGCCATGCTCGGCAACGATGACCCATGGTAGTGTGTCGTGTTTGTGCTCAGCTGCGTCGTGTGGGTTGGTTAGCCCTTCGGGTGCGTTTTGGCATCTCGTCCGGCTAACCTTCTTGTACATAATATTTTTTCATCTTAATTGTTGTTTCAAAAAAAAAGAGTCTATTTGTTAAAGTTCCAGAGAAGCTTTTAGGCTGAATGCAGGAGCTCTATCAAACAGTATTTTATAGTGAAGTGATTTTGTACCAACAGCTAGGACATGCTTTTATAGACGTATTTGCAGATTAAGATTTCTATTCTTGTGTTTGCACTATATATATGCTAGTTTTTGCAAAGGTTGAATCAAATGGACAGTGTTGGGTTGCCGAGAAATTGCCAGAATTACAGCTCACTGCTCTGCTTGACGCTTGGCCTTTCATTTGAGCCGGCTTGCCTACTTCGGACTTTGGAGCAATAATTCAATCTTTTGCAAGAACTAGTGTTGTGCTAAATTTCCGAACACCTTTGAAGCTTTATATCCTAGGATAGGATCCTTCCTGAGCAGTTCGGAGTGCAGCCTTGTTTCTTTCTGGGTACTTCTTAATGTGACTTGGACCTGTAGTATTGCTCCACTGTTAGGTGACTTGCAATGCAATCGATTTCAGTGGTAATGTTCATTGAATCATGTCTGATCAGATGGTGATGATTATGTGTGCCTCCGTTGCTCTTTTTATATCTCAGTTAACATCTTGCTGTTATCTATTTTAAGCTGAGATCAGGTTGTCTGATTACATCCGTTTTGTGCACCCTCGGCTCCATATGCAGGCTGAAACAAGCAACTGGAGGTGACGTCTCTTTGAGATACAGCAGTAGGCCAGTAACACGATGGCTTTCAGGCAGTCGGAGGACGATGCACAAGAAGGTGCAACGCCGGTGACAATGCATCACGCCAACGTAGCCAAGATCATCCCTTCGCTGCCCCTGGAGATCAGGTGGCCACCGTTCCGGCTCCGCCATTACGCTGGCTTCTGGGGTGCCAGAGGTAACAACATTGAAGATAGGCGTCCCGAACGTCCATTCCAGGTTCCAGCCGAGACCCACCGACGTGTTCCTTGCAAGCTACCCCAAGTCTGGAACCACTTGGCTTAAGGCCCTAGCCTTCGCAACGCTGAAGCGTTCCACACATCCGCCGTGCGACGACGACCATCCGCTGCGCCATTGCGGCCCTCATGACTGCGTCAAGTTCCTCGAAATTGGTATGAACACAGGGAATGAGTTTGATGCGCTTCCTCCCCCCCGTGTGCTGGCTACGCACCTTCCCTACTCCCTGCTACCCAACAGCATCACAGGTGAGCACTCAGGGTGCCGGATCGTATACATCTGCCGGGAACCCAAGGATGCTCTGGTTTCTTACTGGTTGTTCACGAGGAAGGCGTCGCCGGCGTGGGGAGTTGATGCGCAGTCATTCACGATCCAGGAGGCATTCGAGCTATTCTGCCAAGGCCGCTGTCCTGATGGCCCCCAATGGCAGCATGTCCTCCAGTACTGGGAGGAGAGCGTGAGGAGACCAGACAGCAGGGTGTTGTTCCTTAGGTACGAGGAGATGCTCCTTGCGCCGGAGAGTCACGTCAAGAAGCTAGCAAGGTTCATGGGCTGTGAATTTTCCAAGGAGGAGGAGGAGGGCGGGGTTGTGAGCGCCATCGTGGAGCTGTGTAGCCTGGCCAAGCTGAGGGACATGGAGGTGAACAGAAATGGAAGCACTAGGATGGGGATCAAGAACGAAAGCTTCTTCAGGATGGGAGTTGCTGGGGACTGGAGCAATCACATGACGCCGGAGATGGCGCAGAGGCTAGACAAGATTGTCGAGGATGCATTGCAAGGGACTGGATTCACCTTTGCGAGCACAGCATGAGCCACTGCAGAATGCCAATGTCAACTCATTTTATCGGTATTGCTGGTTGGAGATCATACCACCCATGGTGAGCAATCATCTTCAGTGATGATGGAGGGAAAACATGGACTTCATCTAATCATCTTACCGGAAATAAATTATTGTATACAATCCGTTTGTATAACTTTGTTAAAAACCATAGTCTGTGGTGTCTTGTCACGCCAATAAAACCATATCTGTTACTCCGTCCGTCTTAAATTATACGTCATTTTGGTTTATGCTATGCACCTAGATTACTCCCCCTGCGTCCCAAACGACCTATAATTTTGATCGAAGGGAGTATTATATAAAGTTCATCATAAAATATGTGCCGTCACTGGTTACATTTGTCTTAATAAAATTCGTCATAAACTGATGGATCAGTTTGGGCAGACCTGAAGAAGTTGTTTGCTGTAGGGAAGAAGCTGTCCTTCTTAGGTAGGCATGTGTCTTTGGCCAGTAGTTTTACCTGGTGGTTTGTTCCAGTCGTTAGCTTGCTTGTTGATTTAGACGTGATACCTGTTACATGTATTGCTGTAATGCGTGGGCTTTCACCTTGGTTGCTGTAAACTGTTCCTCGTCTGATTGGAAGTTTGGAACGGCCTCGAACTGGTTTTTTCTCCCTAGTAATATTATAATATACTCCCTTCATTTTGAATTATAAGTCGCTTTGATTTTTTTATACATAGAATTTGCTACATTAAGATGTAACTAGATGCATAGCAAAATAGATATAAAAAAAAATCAGAGCGACTTATAGTTTGGAATGGAAAGAGCAGCAATACATGTCCTGTGCTAACATATACTCCATTGAGATGAACCGTGGGAGCAAGTAAAGTTGCTTCCAGGTAGTAAGGTAGCTATTCCTTTTTCTAGAGTTATAACTTTAGTGTTGATGTCGATATCTTGCTTCTGTTTAAAAAGTTATTGCTGTAGAAAGGAGAACTGTATCACTCAATGTCGATTAGTCACTGTAACTAACTTATTATCCAACCTAAAGATAAAAAGTTATTGCTGTAGAAAGGAGAACTGTATCTGTTAGTGTCGATTAGTCACTGTAACTAACTTATCCAACCTAAAGATAAAAAGTTATTGCTGTAGAAAGGAGAGCAGTATCACTCAATAATGTCGATTAGTCACTGTAACTGTCTTGTCGATAACTTGCATGATGCCTAGAGTATGATTTAGACTTCTTTCCTTCCAATAAGAAGAAATATATTTTTTGTTTATTTAAAAAAAAGATGAAACATCCTCGAAGAAAACTTAAACCTAGCTGGCTAGCTACTGCGCAGTGCGCTCAAACCGCATCATCGGACACTGATTAAGCGAGGCGTACTTCCTAGAATCACGGGCCGAGCATTGTTATGGGCGGACCAATGGTGGAACGGACACTGATTTCCGCAGCAGCAGCAGCAACAACCAATTGGGCCTGGCGGGCAGAATACAAAAAGAGAACGTGCGTGCACACCCGGCCGCCCGGGGGCTGCTGGTAGCGGCGACCGGCGAGTACAATATTTCCGCACGCAGACCGCGAGCGCGAGGACCTCTCCGCGGCCGCCAACGCCCTCCAGGCGTTGCAGGCTTGCAGGTTGCAGCTGCATCTGGAGAAACGCAGCAAGTTCGCCGGCCGGCGACGGGCCCTGCTTCCACGTCGTCGCAGCGTGTGCGTGTTCTTGCCAGGTGCGCAGAATCCTTCCCCTTCCCCCTTCTTGTCATTCTCATCTCTTCCGCATTTCTATCTACTATACTCCTACTAGGGGAGGTCAGTACCGGCGCTAGGGGCAGGACATGAGGTGCAACGGCCGAGAACCCAAGCGAAGGAGGGGGCTAAGCCGAGAACCCAAGCGAAGGAGGGGGCTAAGCCCAGTATACAAACCCCAGGTCCTATAGTCTATTAGACATTAGCAAACTAATAAGAAGAGAGATATAGAACTGGTCAGGCGGCTCAAAAAGACAATATCGGCATTTCTTTTCTAGTTTTCTTTCCCCACGGCTCTCAGATAGAGAGGAAGCGAGCAGTCGCGCTGCATACAGCACACTCTGATCGTGAGTTCGCGACGTGCGCCTTACACACGTGGAGCTGGCGAGCCGCGCTGCTGCGAAGAGCTAGATTACCGGAGACACGGACACGGCGCACGAGGACGGCGACCAGGCAGGGCTCCACGACGACGACATTTTGATTCTTGGCTTCTCACGAATTGCGATCACCGATCAGTTGTTTAGGCCCAAGGTATTTTTTTCCTTTTTATTTTTAATCCAAATTAATTATTTGTGTAGTATTCTAGATTTCTAGTACTTTGTACCCATATAGTCATATTTTTCTTCTAATTTAGGTGTTAGAATTTTAGAATGTTACCTAAGAAACATTTGTCATGGATGAGAAAAGAAAACAAATATATTGTTTTTTTAATCTACATTGTTCATCGATAATTATCATACATCTACAAATATATTGCTTAATCTACATTGTTCCTCGATAATTATCAGACATGTTAAATTAAAAATATGTTATTAAATTTGCTTTCATTTTGCAAATAAAATTAGTGCCTATATATTATAAGATTTTATACATATTCAAGAGGGGCCATTGCGACGAGATCGTCAGAGAGCCCTTAAAATCCTAGGACCGGCACTGGGGGAGGTTTGCCAGTTGGAAGCTGGAGACACTTGATGCAGTTCTCGTCGACGCTATTAGTTCATATCTGGGGCAGCATGCATGTATTTGTTACTAAAGTTTTACTTATTCGTGCATATGTTTACCTATACAATGATGATTGGCCTTGCTACTTATTAAGGGTCCGTTTGGCAAGAGTTCCAGAGCAATTTTAGGCCGAATGCAAGAGCTCTATCAAACAGTATTTTATAATGAAGTGATTTTGTACCAACAGCTAGTACATGTTTTTATAGACGTATTTTGCAGATTAATATTTCCATTCCTGTGTTTGCACTATATCTATGCTAGTTTTTGCCAAAGGTTGGATTGTGACTTTTTAGCACCCACATTTTCTGATGATATATATTTTTTTTCCACAAAGATGAAACAATGTTTCACATATTCACATTCCGATACAAAAAGTTGAGAATCATCTGCAGCGAACCGTGCTGCAGGAATGAAAACAGTATGGAGTCTACCTACTGTAACTACGAGAGAAATAACTTTGGGTACTGCTGCTTTCCGAAAAATAACTATAGGGCACTGCTCATCCCTCTCCAGTTGGGTGGGAGATGCGTGTCTATAAAAAAAAAATCAAATGAAGGTAAAACTAAAATGAAAATTAAGCAGTGACAAAGGAACATAACATATGCATTACTGGTAGGTAAAGTCACTGAACAGACTAGCAGGTACAGTACATCTTTAGCTATTTAACGGCTTACATGCAAAATTTGTAGTAGTCCCTATACTCATACAATATACATACTCATGTGGTTCAAATGGACAGTTGGGTTGCCAAGAAATTGCCAGAAGTATAGCTCACTGCTTGACGCTTGGCCTTCATTTGAGCCGGCTTGCCTACTTCAGACTTTGGAGCAATAATCCAATCGTCTACAAGACTAGTGTTGGGTTGAATTTCCGAACACCCTTGAAGCTTTGGGCGCAAGGGTTATGTGATGCGTGTGGGTTTCTCTCTCTAGGTGAGAGAGCACCCCGCTTCGCCCGTCGGTGGCCACCGGCGACCACTCCGGTCCCGGTGTCCACCGCCTCACGCCGGCGACCACTCTAGTCCCGGCGTCCACCACCAAACGCTTCACTGCTCAGAGCGGTCACGCCGTCCATCGCTGACATGGAGCACGGCTCCTGCTCCCGCCACTCCTGGGCTGACGAGGTGAATAGGCCTGTTTAAAAACAAACTCAAGCAGAAGTTAAACTCTAGGTGCGGCACTGCCTCGCCCCTACAGAGAGTTCAACACAAACCAAACTTGGTAGAGATGTCCAGTGACGAGTTCACTAAGTACATGCACTCACAAACACTCATAACCAAGTAGATCGAGTGGAACACAAATAATGGAATTCAAAACATAAAAACACAAGACACATGATTTATCCCATGGTTCAGCTCGCCACCAAGGCTTGCCTATGTCCACATTTGTTAAGGCTTGCCACTAAGGCTTAGGGCTTTGCAACCCTTTCTCATTCTCAAGTCAAGAGAGTGAACTCTTGAGATGAGGGGTTTCCACTAGTTCAATTGGGGTAATACAAACTTTTCCGCGGCTCACCACAAGCACAGGAGCTCGTCGGGCAATGCCTAGCTGTCTTGGAGGCTTCACCTCCAAGAGTAACCGTCGACACAAAATTTTCGTCTCTGTGCCGAGGACACACGCAGCAAGCCGGAAGGGTCCGCTCGATGGAGCAGATCCGCCTAGCTTCAGCGCAAGGGTGGTCGATCCTGCGCAATCCTCCCGAGACGTGCCAGTCAATTTGACCCTGCAATTGACAAGGAGAGAAAGCTCATTAGTAATTAAGGGCGGAACGTGCCGGTGTTGCCAGACAGTCCCGAATGTGCGGCTCTGAGAGCCGATATGAGAGGAGATCGACTAAATAGTCGATCCCAGCATCTTCGCAAGAATGAATCGGTTAAAGCTCATGTGGTTATATAAGAAGAATCAGTTGTCATTCAGGTTAAATGTTATTTAAGCAAATATTAATCAATGGCAATAAGATATCAACATTGATCGGTTTGTACTGAGCCAATGATTATAAGTAACCGAACTCCTTTTTATATAAAGAAACAATTCAACATCACTTAACCATTTAATAAAGATAAATCTAATGAACATGTTAGATCTCATCTATCGCCATGACCAGTGGGGCATGAGGCAGAATCATGCAGGCCGTAGAAACAACAATAGACTCGACGACCCTAACTCATTACTAATATTAGTGGGGCATGAGGCAGAATCATGCAGACCGTAATACAATAACGAGATCATGGGGCTAACATATCTTTCAACTTATCTCTACTTCAATGACCTCGTAATGCAAA